AAAAAATACTCTTTACAAATTCTGTATAGATATTCGAAAGTCACCAGTCTGGGGGGGATTCACCACAATACATTGATAATCATTCTTACACTATCCCTTTCTAACTATACTTGTCCTGTTATGTTAAATTACTGCCAACGCAAAAATATAAAGAACTTTCACACATCTTTAAGGATCCTAATTTAAGAGCTACATTTATTTTATTAAGGGACTAATGCAAACATTTTATAAATACGGCTTCAATTCTGCAATTTAAACTGCTTTTATTTTGGAGGTTTGAGCCACGGTAGCAGAAAAATTAAACAATTTTCTGTTCATTTGTTTTTCATGTGCAGCATAGTGGTGTTGTGTTCAAATTCATGGACTGGTGTTGGTGTGGAGTTTGTATTTCCTAACTGTTTGCATGGGTATCCTTCCATAGTCCAGAGACATGCTGGCAGGTTCGTTTCTGGGAAAACTGGCCCTGTTATGAGTGTGAGTGTGTGTGTGTCTATGTTTGTGTCTGTGTGCTCCATGTAACGGACGAGGATACATCGGGAGTATCCTGTCTTCTGGCCTTTGCTTCCGGGAAGAAGCTCCCCCGTGACCCTGAATCGAATAAGTGGTTATAAAATGATGTGATGGTGATGTAGGGAGCTTTCAGAAACTGTATCAACAATGGGCAGCCCATCAGATTCTGTGCCTCTTCTGATTATATAAAGTTGCAGTTACTAGACTGGCAGCCTGATGTTCATTGAAGAAGAACAGGTTATTAAAGTATAGACAAGGAGCCACAACGGGAATATCAGTGGTCCTAATGGGTTGGCTGGCTCCGGGGCCTGAAAACATAAACACCCCTGACCAATGTTCCCTCTAATTTTGAATGTCCTGTGTGTGCAAAAATTTCAAGTTGTGCAATTGTTTCCCCAGTGACAATGTGTGCGCACTAAATTGAATGTATGTAAAATTGTAAATCTGACATTATTTTTTGTCAATATTGTCATTCTCATAGAAGCAGAGAGATCCAACATACCAGTGATTCGGCGAGGCCAGTCATGGAGACTGAGTGTCGAGTGAGCATGAGCAGGGAGGTACAGTACGAGACAACGAGAGCAAAGATATCGATGACTGAGTAGCAATAATAACACACACAGCCAAGCTGGGCCTCTTGCTGCCAGTCTCATGTGGTCAATTTAGCATTTCTCAATTGATGACCATGTTTCTTTTATTATTATCATATTTTGGGTGGAATTTAATTTTTT